CGAGATTCTGAGAATGGAATTTGTTCAGCGTCAGAACAGCGATGCCATACCGAAACAGAACAGCGATGCCATACCGAAACAGAACAGTGCTGCCACACCGAATCAGAACGGTGGTGCCACACCGAGTCAGAACAATGTCTCCACACCAGATCGGGACGTCGCTGGCGGAGATGCCAGATCGGAGGGGACACCAGTAAACAACAATTCGATGCTGGCCATGGCCAGAGAAATGCTTCCAACATACGACGGCGCCGCTAACAACAAACTGCCTGTCAGCACATGGATCGCACAACTTAATGCTATCACGAAAATGTACAAGCTGAGCGATGACGTAATTCGCATGTTGGTGATGTCGAAACTAAAGGACCGCGCTCAAGTTTGGTTGCACTCATCCGAAAGTTTGCTGACTTTGCCGATTTATGAACTACTACGACAGATTGATGAGGCTTTCAATAGTAAGGAGAGCAAGATAATGTCTCGACGCAAATTTCAAGCGCGCAAGTGGAATCCATCCGAAGATTTTTCCACATATTTCAAGGAAAAAACCCTTCTAGCCACACACATCCAAATGGACGACGAAGAGCTAATCGACAGCATCATAGAGGGGATTCCCGACACTCTTCTGCGACAACAAGCACACATGCACTGCTTCAACTCGTCTGCACAGCTGTTGCAGGCGTTTGCAAAGGTTGCTTTACGTAAGCCACCACTGTCTTCGTCAGGACGGGCCAAAGTTTCAGCCGGGAATGGACCTGCTTCGGCCCCTCCAAAAAGGTGCTTCAACTGCAACTCCATTGGACATTTCGCTGCTGACTGCCGCAAACCCAAGCGTGAGCACGGAGCCTGCTACGCATGTGGCAGTATGGATCACCAGGTGCACCACTGCACTGAGAAGAAGTTCGTGCCCACCAATGAATATGTAAGACCGTTTAAGATTTACTTTGGTTCAGAACCTGATCAATGTTTGTTTTTAGAATGCCTAATCGATTCTGGGAGTCCAATTAGTTTCATTAAGATGTCATACGTGGAAAACATACTAGAAAAGCAAAATATCAAGTCAAATGAAAAGATTCTCACAAATTACGTTGGCTTAAACGGTAGCCCCTTAGATATAATTGGAAAAATAACATGTTTTGTTATTATCAATTAAGAAAGGTTTAATTTTGAGTTACTAATTGTGGCGAACAAATCGATGGCATATGGAACAGTTTTGGGACGAGAGAAAATGATAGTTCAAATGATAGTTATGCTGAAAATGATAGTTCAAATGATAGTTATGCTGAAAATGATAGTTCAAATGATAGTTATGCTGAAAATGATTGTTCAAATGATAGTTATGCTGAAAATGATTGTTCAAATGATAGTTATGCTGAAAATGATAGTTCAAATGATAGTTATGCTGAAAATGATTGTTCAAATGATAGTTATGCTGAAAATGATTGTTCAAATGATAGTTATGCTGAAAATGATAGTTCAAATGATAGTTATGCTGAAAATGATTGTTCAAACGATAGTTATGCTGAAAATGATTGTTCAAATGATAGATATGCGAAAAATTATTGTTCAAATTATAGAAATATAGAAAATGATTGTTTAAATAATAAAAGTGGTGAAGACGATGGTAGGTAGGTAGGTATAAGTGGTGAGGCAGCCCTGGCCGCCTCCAATTAGAGCTGAGCTCCGTTTTGATCCACACCCTCGATTTGTTGTTGTCTGCGCCCTACTTAGTACCAGCCCGTGTCATTCAGGTAAGCTAGGATGGCCGCTACTGGCTGCCTTCCAATTTCCCCAAGTGACTCGAGTTGGTGTGCTCCGAAGTGTCGGGCTCTTTGTTTGTTGAGTGCCGGGCAGTGGCACAGCAGATGCTCTGGTGTCTCCTGCTCGCTTGGTTCCTTGCAGCTTCTGCATTGTGGGTTGTAGGGTAGACCCATCTTACAGGCTTGCGTGCCTATAGGCCAGTGGCCGGTGATGGTTGCCGCTATCCTCCTGATGTCCGTTTTTGCTCTTGGAGATCAGTTCTGCGGTTCTCTTCCTATTGAATTCTGGCCAGCATAGTTTCGATCTTCTGTGCTCTGCCTTCGTCGACCATTCCTTGCTGGCTAGTTTTTTGAAATAGTCATGTATTTCCGTCTGGACTGAGTTCAGGGAGATCTGTATGTCTGAGATCTGTATGTCTGCTGAGTGTTCTTCTGACCCTTTTCTGGCCAGCTCGTCTGCTTTCTCGTTTCCGTATATGTCATTGTGTCCGGGTACCCAGGCTATTTGTACCCTGTTGTCTTCTGCTAGTCTGCTTAGTGCCCCTTTACATTTGGCCACTAGTTTTGAATTCGTCCGTGCTTGTGCGAGAGATTTGATCGCCGCCTGGCTGTCTGAGTATATCCTCACCTTGGTATTCCGGAGGCCTCGGTCTAGCGAAAGTTCGGCAGCTTTCAGTATCGCGAGAACCTCCGCCTGGAAAACCGTCGCTGACTCTGGGAGGTGGAAGTATTCCTCCACCTTCCAGCTCTCGGCGTAGATTCCGGTCCCTACTCCGTCGCTCATCTTTGAGCCGTCGGTGTAGAGTGATACTTCGTCCGGTTCGGTTACTCTCCCTCTCTTCCAGTCTTCCCTTGTAGGGTATATAGTGGTGTATGTGTTACCGAATCGCAGTTCGGTTGTCTTGTAGTCTGTGTCTACTGTCGTCCGATAGTTTATCTCGTTCAGAATCCTGCAGTGCCCGGTGTGGTAGTCTTTCCAGCTTTGGCTAGCCTTTAGTCGTACCGCACCTTGTGCTGCAGTGTTCCTGATGAAATGCTCTATCGGTATTATGTTTAGTGGCGTTCAGCGCCGTCGCGGGGCATGATCTCAGTGCTCCTGTGGCTCCTGCGCATGCCGATCTCTGTATCCTTGTTAGTTTCTGTACGTTGTATGCCCTAGTTAATGCTGGCCACCATACTAGTGCTCCGTATGTGAGTATGGGTCTTACCACCGCTGTGTAAAGCCATATTATTATCCTGGGGTGGATGCCCCAGTTCTTTCCGAACATCTTCCTGCAGGAATAGAATGCTATGCTTGCTTTCTTGACTCTCTCGTTGATGTTTTGTTTCCATGACAGTTTCGCATCCAGTATCACTCCCAGATACTTTGCCTGTTGTGATATCTCTAGTTCTATGCCATCTATCTTTGGCTTTGTGAAGCTAGGGACCTTAGTTCTTCTAGTGAAGAGCATTAGTTCCGTATAATCCTTGGCTTGGATGTGTCCCCTTCTTCCTGGTTTTGGTATGAAGACTACCCTCGCTTCCTTCCATGGAAGTGGTATGTGTGCTGTTTTAATGCATGCCTGGAAGATTGCTTGCAGCCATTTTCCCGTGCTTGCTTTTGTTGTTTGTAGCATTGCCGGTATTACTCCGTCTGGGCCCGGGCTTTTGTATTTGTCGAAGGAATCTATCGCCCAATGGATTCTTTCCATGGTGATGATCTCTTCTACTTGTAACTGCTGGTCTGCCCCCCTGGCTTTCCATTATTCTAGGTTCTTCTTTTTGGTTTCCTGGGAAATGCGTATTCAGCAGGATTTCCAGTGACTCTTCAGCCGACGTACTTCCTGTCCCATCAGGTTTGTTTATGAGCGTGGGGCTTGTGTGTCCTCTCGATAGGATTTTACTTAGCCTCGCCGTGTCTTTGGCTCCTTCAAGCGATTCACAGTAGCTGCTCCAAGATTCCTTCTTGGCTACGTAGACTGCCTTTTTGTATTCTTTGTGTATTGCTTTGTACGGCTGCCAGTCTTTGGTTCCGTAACTTGTATTGAAGGCTTTTCGAACTTTCTTTCTGAGCTCGCATAGCTCTTTGTTCCACCATGGTGGGTATGTCTTCTTAGAGTATGTTAGTCTGCATGACTCTTTGTTGGCTTTGTTCAGAATATTTGTGAAGTCCTCGACTTCCTTATCTATTCTCTCCGGAGTGGATCGGGTCTTGATCCTTCTGTCTTTGACCTTTGACTGTACAATCTTTCCGTATTTGTCCCAGTCAGTGTTTCGGGGGGTTTCGCTTCGGCGCCGTTTCACATACCGGCATCACGATTTCGAAGAATATGTACCTGTGGTCTGAAAACGAGTCTTGTGTAGAGACTCTCCAATTTCTTACCTTGTAATCACTATGCTCCATTTGGAGGGTTATGTCTAGGACTTCCTCCCAGCCCTGAAATCCTTCCGTGCTTGGAAAGATGAAGGTGGGCGTGTTTCCCTTGTTACAAATATTGACGTCACGACATATAATACTATCGAAGAGAGACTCACCCCTTTCGTTTGTCTCCTTACTTCCCCACAGTGTGTGCCTTGCGTTGGCAGCGCACCCGAGGATGAGCGTCGTCTTAGTCTCCTCGGCCCATTGCATCACCCTATTAACCGCTTCAGGTGGTGCAGGTTCGTCGTGGGCCATGTAACCGGAGGCTATTAGTATGGCTGTCCCATCCGCCGCCTTGAATCTTGCAAGTGCTAGATCTAAGTTGCTGAGATTGGGGTAGAGAAGAGCATTAAGGTTGTTTTTAATGATTATACCCGCCCTCGGCCTACCTGTCGAGTTTGTGTACAATGTTGTGTATCCCTTTATGGCCATGCCAGAGATTTGACCGTCCCTCGTCCATGGCTCTTGTATAAGGCCGATGTCGATGTCCTTCTCCCGGAGAAGGACCCCCAGATTAGCTGAAGCGTGGGAGCTGCGCTTCAGGTTTATCTGAACGACCGTCGGCATTAGATCGGGGTGGTGTTGGGGGTGTTGTCGTCGATCGCCAAATCGTCCAGCAGCTTATTGGCGTCCTCGACTTCATCTTCCAGGATGTCGTCCGGTTCGTCTAGGAAGACCTTCACCTTGGCTTTCCGGATGCCGTACCGGACCTTGTTGTCTGCTGCCTTCAGCTGTTCTAGGCAGCGCTGGTTGATTAAGAACAGATATGGCTGGCTGGACTTCATTTCTCTCTCAGCTCTGAGAATGGCCCAGTCCTCCATGTCGACTCCCTTATTCATTGCTCACAGAGTCTTGAGCACCCTTTCATGGCTAGACAGCCCCTTGGGTAGCCAGATGCGAGCTCTGGGTCTCCTTGGGATGTCCTTGGCGGGGACTAGCTTTATGCTAATCCCTTTCCATGCCTTGCTTAGACTGGCAACGCAATCCGCCAGGAAATCCCGCGAAAACTCGTCGTCGCACCTGATTACCCGGTGCCCCCTAACCATGTCTGAGGAGTCAAAGGAGGGTGACTGGCCCGTTGGCTCGGACAGTAATTTGTCGGTTACCATCTCCGCCAACTGGGTGTCGACCTCCTCCCATTTCTCCATCAGCAGGCGCCCATCGTCGTTGAGCTCGTTTATAAGTGCCATTGCGAGGCTGTCTCTGGCCACCTCGCTGAACTTTTTCGCCGGTTTGACGAAAGTGGTCGGCCTCGGTGCTCCCTTAGCGTCCTTGGCCCTCTTTGGAGCGCTCTCACTCACCTCTTGTGAGCGGTTGCGCTTGGCTTGAGGAGGCAAAGACGTCTCTGGGTGCTCCTTCTCGTAGCGCTCGTATTCCTCGATCACTGCTAGAAATCTGGCTTTGTCTGCAGCGTCGCGCGGGTCGGCTTTGCCCTCCTTTTCATTCCTCGCTATTTTGGCGAGGATGAAATGGGCCTTGCTTGCCTGCGCCTTTCGTTGTTGGTGGGTCCACGGTTTTGTCTTCCCGTGTTCACCGGTCGCTTTGGCTTGGCTTGCCGCCGCTTTAGTGTGCTTTGGTTGTGTCGTTTGAGGTGTGCTTGTCTTTACACCTCCCTCTGTATTGGACGGGGCTAGCGTCTCGTCGTCTGAGCGCAGTAGCTCCTCCTCGTCGAGTTCGCTTTCCGTCGATTTGGGGTGGGGTTTTACCTCCCCCACGAGGTCCGAAGCGGATTTTTTAGTTGTATTCATTTTCATAAACGCCCGCGTTGCTCGACAGGGCGAGCGCGGCGGGCCCGAGGGGTTCGGGGCATTGAAGGAAGGTCGACCGTGGCTTCGCCCCTAAGCCACGGCAAGGCTCGTTCCGACCCAGGGTTGCCCGGCCCTGGGAAGGCTCCGTTCGAACACAGCTGGTTTAACCCCTCAGCTGCGAACCTTATAGTCAGTGGGCACGGGTCGCTTTACACGCCTGACTTGGGGGGAGGTAGTTTTAAGACTTGCCCATGTCTCGGTAGGGATTGGGAGGCAGAGGATTATTAGGTGAGGGATTCACTGGAGGTGCCGCTCGCATTGGCCGTACCGCAGTACGTTTCCAGGAGGTACCACGCGGAGGACCTTCTCCCAAGAGAAGGTGGTGTCTATCAAACCGATATTCACCTTCGAGTCGACTTGGTGTACCATTAGAGCCAAGGAATATTCATCAACAGTTGCCCTGTTGACTTTGCCTTGGATTGGTACACCCATACCACCCGGTGAAGACGATAGGTCAAAAAGTAATGATAACAAGTTTAAGGATACAAATAATGTCAAGTCGATACAAAATACAGTAAAGTCACATTATGATGAACAAAATCGTGAAAATTAAAGCAAAATGAATAGTCAATATGATAACAGCTTTGAATCAGAAATGTTATTAATAGAATATCCCGAGGCAACTGAATGCAGCCAGCTGAACATAAACGAGAATTGCGATGTGAATTTAAGAAGCAGAATGATAACTATTTTTGAACAATTTTATGTAAAAGCGAAACGTCCAGTACTCCCGTCAATAAAATGGGAAATGAAACTTAATTTTAAAAAACCAAACCGTTCAACTACCCTCCGAGACGTCTATCGTTTGCAGAGAAAAGCCAAGTTCAAGATTTGTTAGACGATTATATAAAAGATGGTATTATACGTGCAAGCGAGTCCTAATATGCATCACCAATTGTTCTAGTTAAGAAAAAGTCAGGAGAGTTAAGAATGTGCGTTGATTATCGCACACTTAACAAAATATGCTAAAAGACAACTACCCCACCCCCCTCATAGACGATCTAATTGATAAACTTTCAGAAAAGTCCTTTTTACGAAGCTAGATCTTAGAAACGGATTCTTTCGTGTGCACATGCATGAGGATTCGGTCAAATACACCGCGTTCACTACGCCAATGGGACAATACGAATGGCTTAGAATGCCGTTCGGGCTAAGAAACGCCCCCGCAGTCTTTCAAAGATTCGTAAATAGAATTTTTGCTGACTTGGTTAGAGAGGACAAAGTTCTCATTTACATGGACGATATTTTGATAGCAACAAAAGATAGTAAGAGTCATTTGGAAATATTAACAGATGTGTTTAAGCGATTAGTAGATAACAAGCTAGAGCTAAGAATAGACAAATGTGAATTCCTTCAAAGTGAAGTAAAGTATTTAGGATACATTGTATCAGGAGATGGCATTAAACCAGACTCAAAGGGTATGCAAGCAGTTAAAGATTTTCCTGTGCCAACCAAAACGCATGAAGTTCAGAGCTTTCTTGGATTGTGTTCTTATTTTAGAAGATTCGATAAAGATTTTTCGACGAAAGCAAAACCGTTATACGATCTTATACGCAAAGATAGAAAATTTGATTTCGGTGCGACAGAGTTAGAATGTTTTGAAACGTTAAAAACAAATCTTCTAGAAGCCCCAATTTTGGCATTGTACAGTCCGACAGATCCAACGGAATTACACTGTGACGCTAGTGCTTTAGGGTTTGGTTCAATTCTTATGCAGAAAAAGAAAGACAATAATAGTATATTTACACCGACCTGAGTTACCTATCGAAATCGAAATTAACGCAATAACGTAAGACGCTAGTTTATACTTTTTTTTTTTTTTTTTTTTTTTTTGAAAAAAAATAATGAAATTTTATTTGACTAGTGCACTGTTACCTAGATATTTGGCAACTAAACCTAATTGGAAGTTAATTCTATGTTTACAATGCTTTGTTATGGAGGAGTATTAAGTTAAGTTATGTTTACATAATTTGAAATGATTTTCATGTTTTGTCTGATATTTTATGTCAAGATCCTGTCGGGGAGGTCTTGAGGGTGGTGACGTTTAAGTCTTCTCCTGACTCGTGTTCTGTGTTCAGCGGTGGCTAATCTTCTAGCCAGACTATTAGGGTGATTGTTAAGTTTTTCCATGTACTTAGTTGAAACAGTGTGAAGTTTGTCTCCAAGCTTGGGCACCTTTAGGTCTCGTTCAATGTCTCTAGTCCTCATATACCAAGGAGCCCCAGAGATCCTCCTTAATGTTTTTGCTTGAAGAATCCGAATCTTGTTCAAATGACATCTTGCAGCAATTCCATAAACTTGAAGGCCATAAAACAGGGAAGGGGCTAGTATTGACTTATATATCATGACCTTGGAGTAAAGCGATAGTTTGTTGCGGGGTGCCAGGAGCCATGCCATCCGGGAAACCTTAGCCTTAAAAGCATGCTGAATGTTCGCAACATGCCTGCCGAATGTAAGTTTACGGTCCAAGGTAACGCCAAGGTATTTATAGGCTCTATGGTGGTCAATGATTCTACCATTAAGACTGACCCCAGGACAGCTAGCTGCACGGATGGTGAAAGTCACATTCGCACATTTGTCCGCATTGATGCGCACATTCCAGTTCATAGCCCATTCTTGGTAGGCATCCAGATACTCCTGTAAACCAAATGAAGCAGCCAAAATACTTGTATTTTTCACTAGCACAGCAGTGTCATCAGCGTACGTAGCTATTAGTAAATCATCTTCCGCGACTTCAGTTACTGTCGAGTGACTAGGCATGTCCGAAGCAAAGACCGAATACAGAGGACCTAGAACACTTCCTTGCGGAACTCCAGCTTCAATTGTCTTGACTCTTGATTTATACCCATCAGCCGATACATGGAATGTGCGATCATGCAGAAAACTTTTCACAAAATAAAAATTTCAAAACACAGTCTTATTTATTTATTAAACAATGTTTATATGTGATAAAAATAATACAAAATAATGCAGGTTGTTTAACAAGAATAACAAAAAATAAAAATTATTCAAAAAAGTAACAAAGATTTAACTGAAAATTTGGCTCACTTGAATAGCACATTCTACAGGAACTTCATATTCTGATGATTTTTTCGGAAGAATTAATTATATTTATAATGTAATTAAAGAATAAGATGCCTTCTTGACATATTTTCTCAAAATTAGTAATGACTAAATGCATCGATATTGATTTCATAGCCACAAGTTAATGCACGTAGAATGGCACTAAAATTATAAATGAGTGCCTCGCTAACTCCTGTGATGCGTGATACCAAATCAGGTTGACTGAAAAATCGTCTAGCTGTATTACCATTGTTGGTGTTGCCACTACCAGCCATTGGTATGTCTACTAAAATGCCCATTTCTTTCCTTAGTTCGGACTGTATTTTTAATTTTCTAGCTTCCACCTTTGGCTTATCTGTGCCGCGAACTTGCCATTTTTAATGGAAAGTCTGTATGATACATTTAAAACACATTCAAAAAATCTAATCCACGCATGAAGACTAGATAAGCCATATTTCAATAGATCTGAGTCAACCGGGTAACGCTTCACCAAATCCAAATTGTTCATGTCTTTTGGTACTGCTCTACAAATTCCACATGTCTGTGTGGATGCTTCTGCCAGAACACCAAATGCTTTTCCATCCACCATCGTCAGATGAAATTCATGGAGTATGGTGTTGGCTTGATCGACTTTATTTTGCTTTTAATAGTATATTTACACCGAACTGAGTTACCTATCGAAATCGAAATTAACGCAAGACGCTAGTTTATACTAGAAAACTTGCGTTATTGCGTTAGTTTTTGACAGCTTGTTTGAAATTATTTGAAACAAAAGAAATTACGAAAATGAACAACGACGAAAGCTTGATAATATCAGCAATAGAGCAACATAAAGATGAAGTTCATGGAATTGGCTGGGATGTCTCCAGCAACCTTCGAGGAGCTTCAAAAGTCAGGGATTGAACACCATGGGATCCTCTGCGGAATACCGCACTATAGCGAGGTCCCTTGCCATATCCAGAGCAAAAGAGTGCAATAAGGGATGGACAACCCGATCAAGAAACTTGTATAGGAAATGCAACCTAAAGTGCTAAACGCATTAGGCAAGTGTTGGGCGTACATTTCCAATAAATAATTTGCATTTACATTTTAAATGTATAGATTTTTATTTTAATTGTTTGTTTTAAGTTTGTTTCTGTCTTCATGATGAAGCAGAGTCCGCTTTTTTTTCTTTTCTACCAGTTCTTCCAATTAGTCCCGACAATTCTTTCACTGGCCAGTCTCAGGAATGGACGACTGGCGAAGACATTTTCCGTCCAATCCCCTAGAAGTGCCCCCAACGACAGCTCTTCTTCTTCACACATTGTGTATCACACAAATCTATTTTCGGCCATTTTTGAAATCAGATTGAATTAATTGAATTATCAATCGTCGGCTGCTTTGTTTTTTTACCGATTTGGTGGTGGAACTTGTTCGATAGTCCGAATATCGAGTAGAAATCTAACAAATTTGTTGTAATCGACACGAATATCGAACAAATCTGTTGTTATCGATATGAACGCAACTTGGACGCAACTTGGACGCAACTTGGACGCAACTTTTTCCCACCACTAAAAACTACTAGTAAAAAAAACTACGTTTACTGAGTTAACGCAATAACGCAATAACGCAGCCTGGTGTAAATAGACTATAAGTTTCATCCAGTATTTTACTTTTCCAAACGAACGACCGATGTTGAGGCGAAATATCATAGTTTCGAATTAGAAATCCTTGCGGTGATTTACTCCTTGCAACGTTTTAGGATCTACCTTCAAGGAATAGAGTTCAAAATAGTCACAGATTGTAGCGCTTTTACCCTAGCATTAAACAAGAAAGAATTAAGTCCAAGGATAGCCAGATGGGCTCTTTTTCTGCAAGATTACGATTATGTTTTAGAA